AATTAAATAGATAACTATATTAACATTATTATTACTACTACTGCTGCTACTACTACTACTACCTACTACTCCTAATACTACTTCTACTACTACTTAAACTACTACTACTAATAATAATAATATTGATAATAATAACAATAATTACAATTTATTATAGCTGATTACGTGAAAATACATTTTAACATATTATTGTTTTACCCTTGGTTAACGGATTTCAACCCCTCACAAAAATCAACATTGTTTTTAATAACTGATCATTACTTTTGAGTTTGGGTAGATTTCGTGAAAGCTGGAGATATTACGTAATGAGGTGCGAATTTATATTGTGGGTCCATACAAAGTACAAAACAAGACAGATTGGGATTGTCGAGATTCCATTAACGTGGTGAATACAAGCTTGTAGTTTTATCACCATAGATTCAGACTGCCCATGTTGTGTAATGGCTTAACACAGAAAATAATCATGACGGCAGAAAACTTTGTGGCAGATAAAAACAAACATTCATGAAAAAATTAGTACTTTAAATTTTTTTTTTTTTTTTAATTCCAAACATAAAATACATGATCATGTTTGTGTTAGTACATTTTCAACACTCTCAAAATATTTTTTAAAGTGAAACCATTTTTGTTTCAATTTATTCTCTCTGAGATTTGTTTGGTATATATTTTTTTCCATTTCATAATAACGTTTTAAAGCTGATAAAATGTTATCAATTGATGGTCGTTGATTTCGTAATTTAGCTGAAAATATTTCTTATCTTACAACCATCAAAACACAGTTGAGTGCATTATTATTGCTACCGCAAAATCCAACCAATCTATTTTGATTTGTAAGTTTGATCCTTTCCCCCGTATTACGAAATATCCAGAACTCTAACTTCGACCATACTTCATTAGAATAGTTACAAAAGCAACAAAACATGTATGATAGTTTCATCATTGCTACTACAAAAAGTACACTTCTTGTCAGCCATCTCACCAAATCTTAACAGACTGTCCTTCATATATAATATTCTATTAAAAATCTTGATTTGAAACCACCTCATGTTGATATCTATTGTTGACTGAAATGGAATTTGACAGTACGAACCCCAAAGTACATCTTGAAAATCTTAAAAACTTTTCCACTTTGTAAGAGCTTTACATTCTTTTTCTTTGATTTTAGAAAAGACTGATAAATATGTGAACAACCAGCATTTGTTTTCAACACAAGGTGCACGGCTTCGAGAATGATAGGTTCTAAGGCCTTACTAGGAGCTACATGTGTACTCATTTTAAAACCTGACGGAATTGCATTACAAAGACCATAGTACTGGAGGAAATTTGTTTGTATGTCAAATCTCCGCTGAAACTCAAAAGATGAAAAAAAGAACCATCTATGTTTAGGATGTCGTTCACAAAACGTATTCCTCGTAAATTTCAAGCCCCAAAACATACCACTTTGTCATTCATTTTAATTTGGGGGTTATTCCAGAGAGGTTGACTTGCAATGTCGTCAATAAGAAGTTCGACCAAGTCTGACCAAGCGAAAAGGACCTCTTTCCAAAATGGATTTGGAGTCAAGTCTGCTAATTTTCTAAAATAATGTGAGCCCATATACAGGTGAAAAAATAGGTTTGGGGCAAGAATGAATTAAACATGTGAAAAGTGAAACTTTCTATCTGAGAATCAGTTACAAATCATCTAATCCAAGATATATCCAGGGATTTAGCATGAATGTAACTATCAATCATCTTAACCCCACCTTTATTATACGGTTGACACATTTGTTCTCGATTGATTTTATCAGGTTTGTTACCCCATATAAATGCATAAAAAGAACGATTTATATTTGTCAAATTTGCAAATTCGGTTCTGGAAGTGAAAGCAATAAATAGTTCAATTTTGGCACCAGCACAAATTTGACTAGAGTTATTCTTCCGAGGACAGTTAAGGTTCGTTTTGACCATGAAATAATTTGGCGTTTTATATCTTAATTTTTTTCAGTATAACTATGATTTACCATCTCTACTAAGTTAACCGAAAAATCTATTCCTAAGTATGTCGAATAACCTTCTGATACCCAATTTAATTTGTGCTCTGGCATTAGCTGTTTTTTGCAGGCTCTATTTTTCCCAATCCATATCACATGAGTTTTTGTAATATTGATCTTTAGGTTTGACATTTCTTTAAAATCACCCAATATTTTCAGTGAGCTCTGTAAATCTTCTTTTGTACCGTTAATGTCACAATGGTGTCATCTGCGTATTGTAGTAGTTTACTATTATTTCCCTGTAGATGCAAGCCAATTAAGTCATTGGAATGTCGAATCAAAATTCGTAATATTTCGCTAACAATTAAAAACAGGTATGGAGATAATGGGTCTCCTTGACGACACCCTTGTCCTGTAGTAAATCTTTCTGTGCAAAAACCATTCTTATAAAAGAAGATGCATTTGATAAAATAGATGAATCCATGTTTTCAGCGATGGCCCAAAATGAAAAAAAGTCAAGGACATTGATTAGAAACTGAGATATACAATCGAAGGCCTTTTCAAAATCAATCATCAACAACATGCCTGGAATTTCATTAAGTTTGGTATTTAATTATATATATTAAAGTAAACGAATATTTTCTCTGATAAAACAGCCTTTCAAAAATCCTTTTTGATTCTCATGTATCAAATGGGGCAATACTTGCTTTAATTGATTAGCTATGCACCCGGATGCTATTTTGTATATAATATTTAAAAGTGAAATAGAACGCCAATTCTTTAATAGTGTCGAGGCGTGTTTCCTTTAGGAATTAATGTGATTATTCCTAATTTTTGTGACTGCGAAAATTCTCCTGTAAAATGAGCGAAGTTCAAAGATCTGATCATGAACGTTTTAAAATATTGCCAAAAGAAACGAAAAAAATCAACGGTGAAGCCATCTTCCAGAGGGGATTTATTATTTGTCATACTTTTTAGCATTAAACAAACCTCACTTTCACTCAAAGGACCTTCTAATAATTTGGACAATTATGGAGTTAGCTTAGGAATATCTGGATAATTTAATAATGTGTCTATATCTACCTCTTCTGTGTCTTTCGTCTTATATGAGTTCGAATAAAATTTAAACATTTCGTTTGATATACCATCTTGTCCACTAATAACATCTCCATTTTCTGTTGACATTTGCCGTATTTCTTCATTTACTTCATTCTGTTTTTCCAAGTTTAAAAAATATTTTGATGACCTTTCTCCTAGCTCTATCCATTTGATTCTAGATCTCAAGATAATTCCATCATTTACTTTTAAGCGATACCCAATAAACAGAACACTAAAAAATAACCTCTTTTGGGAGTGTACTTTAAGTAATTTTTAAGTATGGTGCCTTTTGAACTAGATTTAAACGTTATCGACACGTGCCTTCATTTAAACAAAAAAGGTACTCCTGTTCACGTTTTTTCATCTAACCTAAAAACCACCAATTTATCACGCGACTGGAGTAACGTGATTCCACTTACCTCTGTAAATCAAGTGTTTATGACCAAATAACCCGTTGACCAAGCAACGAGTTTTTTTTTATCCGTTAACCGACGGTGGTGATACATAAGTAATTATTTGGTCTTTTGAGCACCTTTATCGATTGGTTTCATAGGTTATCCAAGGTTGGTGGTAATAATCACGTTACTTACACCGGCTAATCGTCTTATTGTTCTGTCCGTGAATCTCTGGTTGTATTAAATTAGTAATTTTGAGCTGTCTTACACACCTCTTTTGAATGGTTTCAAAGTTACCATAACTTTCTTGGTGATGATTGTTGTATCTCTGATACACTATAAGATGTGTGCATTACCTGAGAGTTAAGGGAGTGTCCTTTCTACTTGGCTGCTGGTAGTGAAGTGGCTTGGAAGTTCCACGCAGTGACATTCTTCCTATAGCGGTATTATAGCATGCTATTCAGGTATCTATATAATTGTCCTATTGTCCTATAGTGCATTACATTGGTATGCATTGCAGCTTGCATGTCTACTTTGTTGTTCTATATACATAACACTCCTTCCTCATCACATTGTTTGTTCAGCATCATCAAAATAAAATATCATTTCCATAATTCCGTGTATCTCATAGATTCCTCAGATATCGTCAAAATGAAATTTTCTTCTTTCAAGGACTTCCAAAGTTTTCATCTTAGCCCAAAATATTGATACCTCCTGGTAGTGAGTCAAATAAGTCATATGCTGCTCCACATGGAGATCCAACAAAATCAATGAATTAACACATGCATTTTAAAAGATTCCTTCTTGGAGTTAAAAACAAATATATGCATGCATTCTGCTCCGTTCTGTAGTTACTTATAATCCAGCCTGTTCGGTGGACGTCGATCACGAACAGGATTTCTGTTTATTCTCCCTGCGGATGTAGTTTGTTCCCGAGGAGGTGATGTTGGTCCATCAGACTGGTCATGTGATGCTAGTGTAATGGGTATATCATCGTCATCATCTAAGGTAGATGGAGGAAGGTCATTAATGGGTCCTCTTATGATTTGATCAAGATGAACCTGTTTTTGTTTATCACCAACTTGATATGTCGACATATCTTATTATAAGATGGGTAGAAGAATCCCTGCAATCTGATTGGTCAATTACCATGTAATTATTTTTACTGGATGCACGCGATATCGGCGATCGATACCACCGATATCGTTTTTTTAATAATTCTTTTTTTTTTCTTTTTTTTATATAATTTTTTTTTTTAAAGGTCATTTTTGATAATTATTTGTTTTTCGTGTTTGTTGATAATTATTATTTTTTATTTTTTAAGTTTACAGTTTAATGTGCACTGACAATTTTTTGTTTGTTTTTTTTATTTCATGATAAGTTTCATGAAATCATACTTTCCGGTAATTACCGGAAAGCATAGCTATGGCAAAATCATGCGTCCGGTAGTTACCGGAAATCATGATTTGCCATGCACCCGGTAAATCTGTAAAATAACAGATTTTTGTAAGTTTGACGATTTTTAGGGCCCCATTTTATAAAACAGATGATTCACAGGTTTGAACGCAACGTTCAGCAGCTCCGTTAGAAGAAGGATGATAAGGTGGAACTCGAATGTGATTCACTCCATTCTTCTTGAAGAACACGGCAAGATGTGCAGAAATGAATTGCGGTCCATTATCTGATACAAAGTGTGCAGGAAGTCCATGGGTAGCAAATATGTGCCGTAGTACATCAATCATAGCACTAGTTGTTGTAGTTCTCATTGGATAGACTTCCATCCATTTGGAGTAAACATCAACTAGTACAAAGAAATGTTGGCCATCTAGCTCTGCACAATCTGCATGAACTCGCTCCCAAACTCTTGAAGGCCATTTCCATGAATGAAGCGGCGCTTCCGTGGGCTGACTCCACATATTGAGACAAGTGTGACAATTCCTTGCCAGCGAGTCAATGTTCTTGTCCAAATTAGGCCACCAGAAGAAACTTCTAGCCAAGCTCTTCATACGACTCATATCGATGTGACCCTCATGTAGTTCTGTCAGCATCTTGGTCTGCAGACAATCTGGTATGATGTCTCTTAGTCCCCATATTAAGACATCTTGCTCCACTGAAAGCTCATGTCGGCGATGAAAATATGGTTCAAGAACATCATTGTCCACCGAGTTGGGCCATCCTCTCCGTGTATACTGCAACACTTGTAATAGAACTGGGTCCTTAGCTGTAGCAGTAGCAATCTCTTGGGATGTCAGTGGGAACTCATCTAGGTGAGTGTAATGGAAAATGCTCTCTTCCTCATCCTTAGGATGATTCACCAGCATAGGAAGTCAAGACAGGCCATCTGCATTCATATGCTGTGCACCGCTCTTGTACTTGATATCATAGCTTCCTCCGGCCTAATATGGTAACAAGTGGCCTGTGATCCGTCATCAATGTAAACTGACGTCCATAGATGTAAGGGTGAAACTTTTTCACTCCAAAGATCAGGGCCAAAGCTTCCTTTTCTAGCTGTGCATAATTTCTCTCACTGCTGGTTAGAGTGCGTGAAGCAAACGCAACCGGTCGCTGTTCTCCATTAGGCATGATGTGTGAAAGAACAGCCCCGACCCCATATGGTGAAGCATCGCAAGCAAGGCCCAGGGGAAGATTTACATCATAATGTGCGAGCACTTGGGAAGATACCAACTCATCTTTAGAAGCCTCAAATTCCTTCTCACATTCACGAGTCCATCTCCATGGCGTCTTGATTGATAACAATTCATTGAGTGGATGGATCACTGATGACAAGTTCGACAGCAATCTTGCATAATACTGCAGAATGCCCAAGTACGAACGTCGCTCTTGCACATTCTTTGGTCTTGGTGCATCTTTCACAGCTTGAACCTTCTCTAGGGTAGGATGCAATCCATCTGAGTCCACCACATAACCTATGTACTTTACCATTGTTTGCATGAACCCGCATTTGGGCAGCTTTAGTCGAAGTCCATTCTGTTCAAGGCGATGAAGTACAGCATTCAATCTTGCGAGATGTTCCGACTCTGTATTCCCTGAAATGAGCATGTCATTCAGAAAGCATACTACTCCCTCAAGACCTTGTAGAACTTGTTCCATGGCAGCTTGGAAAATAGCAGGTGCACTGGCCACTCCAAAAGGAAGTCGAGTATACTGGAAAAGCCCTCTATGAGTGTTGATCGTCAGATACTTGCGAGAATCTTCCTCTAGAGTCATCTGCTGATATGCATGTGATAAGTCAAGCTTGGTGAACCAACATCCACCTGCCAGGGTTGAGAACAAATCATGGGGGTTCGGTAGGGGGTACTTGTCGACATCCAAAACAGGATTGATAGTTGTCTTATAATCCGCACAGATTCTAATCGACTTGTCAGACTTCGGAACTACAACAATAGGAGCAGCCCAATTGCTGTGTGAAACTGGAATGAGAACTCCTTGTTCAACAAGTTTGTCAAGCTCAGTTTCTACCTTATTTCTCAAGGCATAAGTTACAGGTCTTACCTTATTGAAGCGGGGCTGTGCATCATATTTGACTTTTATCTTAGCCTTGTGATTTGTCATGCTTCCAAGACCTGGTTCGAACACTGCCTGATGTTTTCGTTGAATTTCAGACAGTCCATGTTGGGTACTTCCTTGAAATGGATCATCCTTCACTGGTGCAACTTTTAACACCGATCTGCAATTCGGCTGGATGCTTTCGAGCCAATTCCTACCAAGAATTGCTGGCTGGTCCTTGATATCTGCTACAATCAAGACGCGTCAGACATGATTTTGTCACCATACTGCATTTTGACTTGGGCTTGACCCAATAGAGGCAATGTCCCTGAGTAGGACTTGAATCTGTAAGTAGGTTTATCCAGTCTTATGTGCTGCAATTTCTCATGATACAAGTCTGCTGGAATGACACTCATTGACGCACCGGTTTCAACTTCCATGATTATTGGTCTACCATTAATTTCAACATACTGTGAGTGCATCATCCTGTGACTTCTCAGACACCGTGAACAACCCAAGGGTATGCATTTCACAATCACCTTCCTCTCGTAATTCAGAAACAACACTTTTGGTTGACTTACTTTTACATACGGCTGCTAAGAGTCCAACGTTTTCCACAGTTATTGCATTTGTACGACTTGTACTTACAAGTTGATGGAGGGTGTTGCCCCTGTCCACATCGATAACAAGCTCCTTTCACCTTAGAACTGGTGTTGTGCGCTGGTTGTCTCTTTGCTCGAGAACTGTATCTGACGCTGCTCGAACTGACTTTCTTGACTTCACTTTCTCCAACAGCTTCTCCCTTCATTTCACGTGTATTCCTGTCAGCCAACTCCATGGCAAATGCATACTTCAATGCTTTGTCAAAGGTGAGATTACACTCACTCAATAACTTCTTCTGAGTTACACGGTTTTGAAGTCCACACACAAATCTGTCCCTTAATGCTTCTAGAAGAAAGGTACCAAACTCGCATGTGTTAGACAAGCGCCTCAATTCAGCTGTATAACCAGAAACCGATTCATGTGGAAGCTGGTTACGCTGATGAAATTTGAATCTCTCAGCAATTATCAAAGGCTAAAAAATACTGCCACTCTTTTGCCTTCTTGCACATCATTTGCTTCAAGAAATTGTTCAAATCTCTCGATGTAGGATGAAAAGTCCCCTTCTTCTGGGTGATACCCCTTACAAAAAAATGTTCAATGGTATACCAATGGTATACCATTCGGAAGTACCACTAAAATACCATACAGATATCTTTCACAAACACCATTTAAATACCATTCGGATACCATTGAGATTACGCTCGCTACGCTTGAATGAGCACCAGTCATCTACCAGTGAAATACCATTCAACCTAATGATAATTTTTTGGAATCTCATTTGCATAATCACCAATGGTAGATGAATGGTACTATTTACACTATTGAAATTTGAAAATGAAATATGCACATTTTGTAACATTAATCGACCATTCACCTTTGGCATGGTAGGCCAATGGTGGATGGTAGGTCAATGGTGGATGTTGAATGGTAGGCCAATGGTGGCTGGTAAATGGTAGGCCAATGGTGAATGGTGAATGGTAGGCCAATGGTGAATGTTGAATGTAGTGCTGTAGCCGAACCGCCGAACCGAACGGAAGTTCGCCGAACATGGCACTTCCGAACCGAACCGAACCGAACCGAACACAAAGGCCTGGTTCGGATGTTCGGCAAAAAAAATGTAAACTTTTTTGCAAGCTAATAAACTTTTCATTTTGTACCTAATTTTCATGTTATGATTGCTCATATTATATTTACTTTTTTCCCATTTTCCGCCCTTGTGATTTATGCCTATCCAGTGGCGGGCGCAACTTCACTGGCGCCATTTAAATCCCAAATCCTGACCACGCTACGTCGCGATCGCAAGCCATAAACAAGAATACATGTGCGTGATCAAAACAAGTTCAGCTCAATTTGCTCAAACCCATTGAACAAAATATTAATATTTTAAATGTAACCATATCGGACAAATTCTCCAATATAAAAAATGAAATAAATATATATTATAGTATGGTATTTATTTATTCAGGAAAAATAGGAATTTTATATTTTTCCTATTGAAAATAAAAAATTATAAAAAACAGTTCTTGGCGAGCCTGAAAGTCTATATTCAAGATGGCACCTTTTATGACTCTAACATTAGACAACAACCGTCTCGGAAAATCTTTTAAAAACATCATTTATTGACAAATTGAAAACATGATTCTTTTAAAATTGAAAATAAAACACGATTCAAGACGGAAATACGAATGTAAGTAGTATTTTTCTTCACAAATAATTACGTTTAGAGCAGTTTTTTAATGTGAAATTTGTGGTGGTCGGAAGCAGTGTGCAGAAGTCTTCCGTGCCGGTCAGGCCCGGCAGGGCGGGCGGCCTGCCCAGTCCCGACCGCCATGGCTATAACGCTGCTTGCTTTTAAATTACCGAACCCCGAACCGAACCAAGTTCGGGTGAAAAATTGCCGAACTTTGCCGAACCGAACCGAACACGAACATAGCGTCTGACTTACAGCACTAGTTGAATGGTAGGCCAATGGTGGATGGTGAATGGTAGGCCAATCTACCATTCACCATTGGCCTACCATTCACCATCCACCATTGGCCTACCATTCAACATCCACCACTGGCCTACCATGCCAATGGTGAATGGTAGATTAATGTTACAAAATTTGCATATTTCATATGCAAATTTCAATGGTGTAAATTGTACCATTCATCTACCATTGGTGATTATGCAAATGAGCGTCCAAAAAATTATTATTAGGTTGAATGGTATTTTACTGGTAGATGAATGGTGCCCAATGGTACGTTGCGAGCGTAATGTCAATGGTATCTGAATGGTATTTAAATGGTGTTCGTGAATGGTATCCGTATGGTATTTTCAGTGGTACTTCCGAATGGTATTTAAATGGTGTTTGTGAATGGTATCCGTATGATATTTTCAGTGGTATTTACGAATGGTATACCATTGGTATACCAGTGAACATTTTTTTGTAAGGGCAGCTTCATTAACCACCTATTGATTTCGTCTGAATTTTTCTTCTTTTTATTATTCAATATTTATTTTTATTTATTTCTCCGCACTTTTGTGTGCAGACGATTTCTCAAAATCCACCCACCCAATTTCTTTCAATTTTGACACAGTCATAAAGACGTGACAGAAACATTTTCAAGTTCAACAAATTATCGTGACGTCATAAAGGCGCCATTTTGTGATATTTTCAGAAAATCAACTCATGATCATGGCCCCGTTGCATAAAACTTTTAACGTAGCGTTAAGCCTCTAATTTAGCGGTAAGTCCAGAAACAGCGTTAAATTTAAAGTTAGCGTTAACTTTCCATTGCATAAAGAGTTAACGTAGTTTTTTAGCGGTAAGCACTTCAGAAACAGCGGTAACTTTACTACAGCTATGAAGGTAGCGTTAACTACCATCAATCAATTACGGTAAGCCTTCATTCCAAGATGGCAGCCATACTACATGCCATACAGCACACCGCTGCTCTCCGGAGAGAGAGGGTATTTCGCGATCGGAGGCATCCCTTGGACCTATACGACGACGAACAAATGTTCAAGTAGTATAGGTTCAGCAGGCAGGGATGCCTCCACCTGATCAACAGACTATCCAGAAGGATCCAACATAGTACCCGGAGAAACCACGCATTACCACCAAGCTTGCAGGTTTTTGTCGCCCTTCGTTTTTTCGCCACCGGCTCTGTGATGGACTGCACTAGCTGCATCCATGGCATCCACATCTCTACTACATCTAGAACGGTGCGGAGAGTCGCTCTAGCCCTCGGCGAGCTCCGGGACGAGGTATTTATTCAATTTTTTTAATGTTTTTATGGCATGAATATGATCCAATCTTAGACTTTAAATCCTGTATTAATTATGTTAAATGTGATCATTTCACTTTTCATGGTTGAATTGGCAAGAAAATCACACATTTTTGCCAATATTCATTCCTTAAAATATATACCCAGTACAGTGTTCATGAGGCAAAACCCCATTTCGGTAGATATATGCCTTAATTCGAGATCTTTTATCCATAAATGAACTTTTTAAATAAGTTCTTTCAAGTCTCGATTTACAAAAAAAATAGCCCTGTTGTTGCTATGGCGTCCGTCTACCGTCTGCAGCTAGTCTAGCCCAGCACCCGCGGAGCGATAGCCGACTGGCGTATCGGCTGCGATGGCACCGCAATTTCCCCCATTAACTCTTGGAAGAATCATAATTTTCTCAACCTTATACCAAAAAATATTTAGATGACTAATCTAGATCAATTAAATGGCTTACGGATATATATCAGGGTTACTGAAATCAAATTCACGTAACAGAGATTTTATACAATTGTTGTTAAAGTCACTGTAGTCTCCACCCAAATGCAACGAAACTTTTTTTTGCGACCAGTCCCACATGTGGAAATTCATGTAAGGCACGAAGATTCTGTACTTACCCGAAGGTTTTGAGTGACCGAGTCACAAACTTCGAGTTGGTTTAACACTATAGCATAATAATTTGTCAACACGGTACTGCAAAAGTACTCTCAAAAGTTTTGAAATATACACGAACGGTTTTTTGTAAAATTGTTCACCTCTGCTGATCGCAGGTAGATCTAGAGGCTTAGCTCTCTTTACATCTTCCGATCCTGCGCCCTGCATCGAATTAAACGTGTAGCGAGAATTATCTAAAGTTAGACACTCAAAATTTTGTTGTGAAAATGAAAGACGGCTGTAGCTATGGTGTTGTCAATTTGTTTTCTTGATCGTGCATATTTTTTTTCATATGATCGTGTCTATACCAGTTGTTTCGAGACGTTTACCAAATGATGAATATAAACACTTTCATACTCCTTACTACCTAAAAAATCCATCTTTTTAAGAACAAATCCAGATGTTTTTTTTTTAATTGATAAAGCAAAATTAAAGAAATGAAACGGCTGATTTGTAATAAAAAATGGGCCATTAAATATGATAAAGGATACATAATTAAAAAGTTATCTTGGATTAAAACACGTGATATGGCATCATAGTGGGAGTTTTTTCTAATTTCATCAAATCAGTGCTGTTTATATAATGTCTTATTCATGAATTATATCAATAATTGAACATGAAACACTTGACTAGCTCCCCCTGAAAAAATTCCCTTATCATAACAATTCGTTATAGTGAATCGACTATGATGAGAAATAGTACTATACAATAAAACATCCATGGTATATCAAATTAGATGAAAAATCATTCACTTTTTTTGTTGTTGAATATTAACGCTATTTACAGTCTATGAATTTGAACATTGCCAAAAGTGTGACATATATGACAACAATTTAACACATATTTACTCTTTACCAACAGGTGATCAAGTTCCCGGAAACCATGGAAGAAGTCAGAACGGCACAGGTCGATTTTTTTAACCTCGCTGAAATGCCCAACGTTGTCGGGGCCGTCGACGGGACTCACGTTGAACTGCATGGGGCTCCCCTCGACGACGAGTACATCTATACGAATCGGAAGGGCAAGCACTCCATAAACGTCCAGCTTATTTGTAATGCGAGGTACAAGATTACAAACGTGTGTGCAAGATGGCCTGGGAGCACTCACGACAGCCGAGTATTGAGGGTATGTGACGGTTTTATCAGCATCTCTGATCACTATTATCATCACTGCCAATATCATGATTATCATCCTACTCATCATTGAAATCATTATCACCATCATCATTATCATCATCAATAATCCATTTAGTCTATATTAATAATTTTAATTTTTAATTTAAACAAATTAATGTCACATTGATATTAAAGAAATATATTAAAGTACTATGTAATGTCTGACATCTTTCTCAATTTGTTTGCTATGGACTGAGAGAAGCCCAAACTGTATTTGTTTTGTTTTGTTAATCACATTTTGCAAAGATAATAATAATGATACATTTCTTCATAATTCAATACACAGAACAGTCGCATTGGAGAGCGTTTCGCAGACGGAGAGCTACCTGGCATCTTGGTTGGAGATTCCGGCTACCCCCTCCAGCCTTGGCTAATCACCCCACTACGGGACCCACAAGGCAATGCTGAAAGAAATTACAACAGGTAAGTACTCAATCCATCACGTTTACTCAAATCTTTAAAGTGTTACAAATAATCAGAGAGCCCTTCAATGATTAAAAGTGATGGAATGTATCAGTTTAATAACATAATACCAACTATACTTGTACAAAGTACATCTCAAAATTTGCACATAGATCATAATACCATATACTTTATATACATTTATAAATTATGTTCATTTGAATATAAATAATGTATAAATTAAAAAAGATAAATAAATATTTAGATCTTATAATAGTATATAACTATATTGGTACAAAATGAATACAATTGTAGTTTGAGTCTTTGTTAATGATGTAATAAAGGAAGAAAAGGTCTTGGCAAGATAATAGCATATATTATATCGATATTTACAAATGCTTTTTCTTAAAGGGTAAGTTGGGTTAATTAAGATCCTGAGAGATGTAGCATGTACGATGGCTTGCAAAAATTGATTACTACAGTGTTGGATTATTTATTCATTATAATATTTCTGACTACTATGTATACAGGGCACACTGCAGAACACGTGTCACCATAGAACAATTGAATGGGCAATTGAAAAACAAATTCAGGTGCCTGATGGGACAAGGGATCCAGATGTCTGCACCAAGAGCATGCGACATCATAATTGCCTGTGCCGTGCTCTTTAACATCGCCAAAGACCTTAAAGAACCGGAACAAGCCATCGAAGTGGAACCGGATGAAGTGCCACACCACCCCGCAGATCAGAACCAACTGACTGGCATTGCTCTTCGAGCAGAACTCATCAATAATTACTTTTCATAAATGTCATAACTTGTTTGCAAGCACTATACAGTATATTTAAATGTGAATGCATAGCTTTAATGCTGTATTTTATAACAACAAAATACAGTGATCATAGTTTTCTGACCTCCTAACTAATTTTAGTTGGTTAAGAAACAAGGTTCTGTCAGGTTAAAGATTGACTTGTACCTAACTGATCTATGGAATTTGCAAAACAGTGCAATTTACCATCTTCCCTTAAAGGTGGAGTAGACATTTAAAGGCTGAAAATATAAACATGTGTAAATCTGAGAGTAATCAAATGATAAAACCATCTAAAAGTTCCTCTTAAAAATATCGGAACTTGGAATTGTCTTTGTGGAAGTGTTTCTACTTAGGTTCTAATATTTCAGATACTTGTACTGCACAGTGGTATGTTTTGTGCCAAGTAAAGACTGATTCATTTTCAGTTTGGTTATTGCAAGAGGTGGAATTACGATGTGCACATATTCAAATGTACTCTTCACATGTATTGTTAACTTTGAAAAAGAATTGAATCATGCACTCAACGGAATCTGACAATAAAGTCTTAAAAATTACCAATATTCTTTGTTTCATTTGGATTCTAGGTCACTATCAACTTTAAACAGACAGGAATAATCTGACATAATTGTGATTCATGCCGCACATGACAAAATTAGATTTTGTCTGCAAAATGTACAAATTACCTTCTGGTCAAAATCTAAAATACATTTTTTGCTGAGTGGTCCTCTGTCACATCAGCTTATCTGCTATATGGTAGAAGAGGAAATTCCTGAAAATAGCCTTTGAATTCAGAAGGGAAATTTGTGTATGCACTTATAAACAATCAAAGAAACCTTGTACGAATTCTCTTCTCAATATGCAACCAATGTAAATGCTCCAATAAATGAGTTGCCCTATCCTGCTTCCTTGCTTTCAAAACAATCATGGCGGTATGATGTTGGATGCCCTGCAACCTCTCAATATTTGTTTTATTCACATTAATAAATAGGGAGTTTGAGTAACCTAACCTACTAAGCACAAGCGATCGAATAGCATGGCTACAAGTTTCTTTGGGGAGTATTTTTCTTACCCTACATATATTACACGGATGAAAGTTGAGCGATTTACAAAGTGAAATTGGGAAGACATTGATCATGAGGCATCAATAAAGGCACCAATAATGTTTGGAAGAAGAGAAAGAGATGGAGATGGTTTAGGAGAGAGAGAATGGAAAGGGGGAGGTGAAATTGTACATAGTTTGAAGAATAACAAAAGCGTCTTACCAAATATTGAGCAGGAGAATCTTGATATGTTTGAAGTCAATGGAATCAAATCAAATAACGGTAAATTTTCTAAAAATGAAAAAAAAAAAAATCATTTTGCACAATCATGATTTGATGAAAAGTATTCTGACATCACTGTCAGCATACTTTTCATCAAATCATGATTACTTTTCAACAACTCATGATTTTTTTTCATCACTTCAAGCTTCTCCTGCTCAACTTGCAGGAGACGCTCTTGATACTCTTCGTACGACACCCCGTTAGACTTTTTCACTGTTTTTTTTCCACCAAATTTTGTCTTCATCTTCCCCCTTCTGGGCTCCCTCTCCTCAACCATCTCTACCTCATCCCCCTCCACCTCCTCCTCCACCGCTCCTGCCTCCTCCCCCATGCTCTGCAGAAGCTCCACGGCCCCTGCATTTTGAGACAACTGTGAAGATGAAATGAAAACAAAGCCAAAACTAAATTGTAAATACTATTTCTTTTTTTTGGTCAAAAATTTGAAATGGAAATTGCATGGTTAGGTGTTTTGCTTATTCTCAAGAAATTCAGAGCAGTTGCTCTTTTTATATTAATTAACAAAATATATGTATGACAATTATACATGGAGTAAAATTGTGAAATAAACAATATAACAAATACAGGAAATATTTGATCAAATTACCTTTTCAAAGAAAAAATAAAATTACATTGATAAATTGTAAATTCCGATACACCCTCTACATTTATGTGAGGGTTTTTATGACTCTCCTGTAATAATCAATGTTTACCGGCAGTGTTGAAGCTCCAGTCTCGCTGGACTGAGGCAAGATCCCCTCCTTGACTTGTCTTGTCATGGCACTCAGCACCATCTCATGCCTTGCATTGAAGTCGAATGCTCCTCCCCCTGGAGATTGAGAAGACAAAACAAGAAAAGAAGAAATAGATAACACATTATAGAACTTCTCAAAGATATATAAAAATTTTTTTTTTTTTTTTTTTTTTTTTTTTAAGAATTAAATAAGAAAAATATTGAGAATCATTCAATGACTGTCAATACATTCTTACATATGTATTTAATTTAAACCAAAACAATTACACTGACCTTTAATTAGACTACAGTAGGCATCACAGTGATGATGGCAATTTTAGTGTGATATGTATTTGACATGAAAGATTTGCAGAGTTGCATTGTTGTCAAGATAGACACCTTACCCTGAGCAATGAAAAGATTGCTTAATAAAAAGCACATATTTACTTGGCCTTTAAAAAAATTCTGTTTGAGCTGTGTAATAAATTTCTATGCAAAACTCAAAGACAGATAACAACAAAATAATTGTAAAGTGGCACAGATTTTATTTCACATCGTAATTTTTATTTTTAAGCAAAAAGACTCACCCGTCTTATTGCGGCTGTCTCTATATTTTTTGGCCTTTGACCTGAGGTCGTTCCACAACAACCTCAGGTCCTTGCCCGACCGGTTGGGGCAACCTATGGCTGCCATAGTGATGGCTGCCTCCTCCCACGCCCTTTTCTTCCTCTCCTGCACCTAAATAAAAATAAAGATTGGAGGTAATATTATAGTTTCAGGAACAAGAATGCAATAGCACTCATGCAGATGCACATTTTATGTCATTAAAGTTCTAATCCTTGCAAAAATACGTTTAGACCCTACTAAATGTGAAAAAGAATCATCCCGTAATACTACAAACATTACAAATATTAAATACAATTAAAAGCATCAGTTATATTTGTTTCAGTTTCAAAATGCCCCTTCTATATTTTGCAGTGATTGGTCTCTTCACGCCCCAAATCTGAAGGGGAGGGTCTCACCTCAAAATAAAGTCATTGATTTAGGAGGGAATGTAAGTACCATTATTAGCACGTAAAATTTTATCATATAAATTCAGAAGTCTTACCCGTTCGCTGCAGTTTCCTGCCTTGCCGAATAGGATGGCACATTTTCCCTGAACGAACCTGCATAGATGCTCGATTTGGCAATCGCTGTAGTTTCCTCTCCTCATTGTTTGTTTCTGCAAAGACCAAAGTTACATTAACCTTCAAGTGTTATTCATTCGTTCATTGTTAAGCAATCATTTTTTTTATAAATTTGTTGCTCAACATGGGGGGGGGGGGAGGGGGGGTATAGAGCACCATATTTTTTTAAAAATTAACACCCCCCCCCCCTCCTCTTGAGCAAAATTTATTAAATATTAAAACAAAACAAAATATCGTTAGGGGGGGCCGGGGGCCGGGGGGTTCACGCAAACCCCTGAACCTCTATTTTGACAGAAGTGCAATTACATTATATACGCAACAATATAATCTAGAAGGGTAGACCAAGATCTACATGTACAGTGCCCAATGTCTGTCACAACTGACACAACACACACACTAGCAGGCCTAGCTCATTTGTAGCTGTTGTTAAAACTAAGCTATGGAAAGCACTCGAGTCTTGAACTAAACTAAACTAAGTAAAGCAGCATATTATTCAGCTTTTAGTTTTGGGTCTAACTCAACTTGCCCACATCACTCATTCAATTTAACAACACAGACAGAGTCAGCTTGAATTCGGTTATCATTCTTCTTAGTCTGTCATTCAATGTCAATGACTCATCAAGTTGAAAACCAACTTTAAACCACTTAAACCAGCACCTTAGGCTTAAATTGGTGGCCGCACACGACGACACACCTCGAGTTTAAACACCTTTACGGCGTCTTTTGGAGGAATCCTACCAAGTACCAAGTACCTGCATCAATAGGACTAAGTCAGTGAGCTGAGACTGAGTGAGTGGTTCATTAATAAAATAATAAAATTGCAACTTGAAATCAACTGCTGAACTTAGGTCTAGAAACAGAAAAATAATCAAGGAAAATATATCGAACTGTGACTCTGCATCGTAAGGAGCATTGTTAGTCGTTTGAAATACCATGGATGATGTATTTCGATATTTAAATTAATTAATAGCAGACCAGCTTCGCGGACGTATACAACAAGCAATGTACGATACGCACACACACACAGATACCGTTGAATCGCCCCCAGAACTCCGGGGGAGATTCGCGGGGCCATCCCGTTCGGCACAGCTGCATCAACACACCACACAATTCATCACCGACACCGTAACAAAAACCGTCATTATATTCGATGAAATTTGAAGAGATTCGCACTATTTACGAATTCAACATGACTAACAACAATTCATTTTCATTTCTGAAGTACTGCAGTTTACAAAAGTGGATCGATAAATTATAAAGGCGTAAACTTACGTTAGTTGGGGACGCCATTGCACCACACTGAACTTCGGTTTCTCAGAACAGTAGCAGACGGTCGACAAAAAATAAACATCCCGCTCGCCGATCTGCGCATGCGCCTGCTTGTTTCGATCGATTCAATGACGTTGCTATTATAGTAGCTTACTACTCTTTTTATGCAATGGAAAATGCCAATTATAGTAGCTTACCATTAATTCGCCAGCCAATTATGGTAGCTACTATAATTTCAATTATGGTAAGAAAAAGTTTTATGCAACGGGGCCCATATCTTCATAACAGAAAATCAATTGTGATTGTAAAATGCTCAAAATCATCTCAAAATTATTTTGCATACGTTTCAGGCTATTTTGAGCATTTTATAAAAAATCGCACACACGCACGCGTTTTCGTTCGTCATGGCCGTACGCAACATACAGTTGCCATTTGCTTTCTGTCATGTTATTCCCTATTTTTTTCTAAACAATTTGATACTAAGTTTATCTTTTAATGACCATTAATAACGGAATGAGCATCCATTCAAGATAAATGTCCGTGCGTGCGAGCTCTTGTAAGGCATAGCAAATATGGGCAAAAACATGCATATACAAAATCTATTTAGGATGCCCATTGACCACCAACTTTCTTTTCATATTTGAATAGATTATGAATTGTAGATATGATTTCATGTCTCATTTGTCCTCTAAGTATTTTGTAACATCATTATAAGTGCCTTGGAACTCAAACAAGAATTTGCATAGTATGACGTCAGCATATTTATGGAAAATGGACTGTAATTCTGTAAATATTGATCGATTTTCTTCCAAATTTCGATATGTTGTAGCTGTGGCTATTCCTAACAAGATCAGCGTTCACTAGATTTGATAACAGACACCTAATTCGTCTTCATGACGAATTAAATTTCTCGTTGTTATTTTTTTACGATCAGATAAATAACTTGATGAAAGTTATAAAGGTGTGCCCCTAATACTGTAATATTTCAATTTTTTGTAATAAAATACAATGACTTATAAGCTGCTTTAATTAACAATAATAGATGTTCATGTAAGCAAATGTATAATAATGTACATCACAGATTCATATGAGTGGGACCACTGGCACAAAACAGCAGTTACTCACGGTAAAGAGACACATATCAGATCCAAAGTCACTCCAAATAGAAGAAAAAAATAAAGATCCATCATTGTTCCTGAGGACTAGGTTATTATTCCTTGCAGTTTGTCAGCTTTGAAACGTTGATCATGAAGAAAAATTCGCGAAAAATAAAGCGAAATCACAGAGCAAATTGTAGTTCAAAGTATAATTTTTCTCAAAGTCACTACCAGTGAAACATCATTAACCATACAATTCCACCATTAAAACACCATTGACCATACTTTTCCACCATTGAAACACCATTCACCATACAGACTCTACCATTGAAACACCATTGACCATACAATTCCACCATTGAAACACCATTCACCATACAGACTCTTCCATTGAATCTCCATTGACCATACAATTCCACCATTGAAACACCATTCACCATATATTTCAACCATTGAAACACCATTCACCATACAGACTCTACCATTGTACCACCATTCACAAATACAGAATCCACCTTTGACACACCATTGACAATACAATTCCACCATTGAAACACCATTCACCATACAGACGCCACCATTGAAACACCATTCATCATACAATTCCACCATTGAAACACCATTCACCATACATACTCTACCATTGAAACACCATTGACCATACAATTCCACCATTGAAACACCTTTCACCATACATACTCTACCATTGAAACACCATTGACCATACAATTCCACCATTGAAACACCATTCACCATACAGACTCGACCATTGAAACACCATTCACCATATAGACTCTACCATTGAAACACCATTCACCATACAGACTCTACCATTGAAACACCATTCACTATACAGACGCCACCATTGAAACACCATACAATTCCACCATTGAAACACCATTCACCATACAGACTCTACCATTGAAACACCATTGACCATATAATTCCACCATTGAAACACCATTGACCATACAATTCCACCATTGACAAACCATTCACCATACATAATCGACCATTGAAACACCATTCACCATACAGACTCTACCATTGAAACACCATTCACCATACAGACGCCACCATTGAAACACCATTCACCATACAGACTCTACCATTGAAATACCATTGACCATACAATTCCAGCATTGACAAACCATTCACCATACATAATCGACCATTGAAACACCATTCACCATACAGACTCTACCATTGAAACACCATTCAACATACAGACGCATCCAATGAAACACCATTCACCGTACAGACTCTACCATTGAAACACCATTCACCATACAGACGCCACCATTGAAACACCATTCACCATACAGACTCTACCATTGAAATACCATTGACCATACAATTCCACCATTGACAAACCATTCACCATACATAATCGACCATTGAAACACCTTCACCATACAGACTCTACCATTGAAACACCATTCAACATACAGACGCATCCAATGAAACACCATTCACCATACAGACTCTACCATTAAAACACCATTCATCATACAGACTCTACCATTGAAACACCATTCACCATACAGACGCCACCATTGAAACACCATTTACCGTCATACACCACCATTGAAACACCATTCACCATACAGAATCCACCATTGGCACACCATTAAAATACCATTTACCATTGATGCTACCATTCAAACACCATTCATTTACCATTAGGTTTTTTTGTAAGGGACTCTTGAATGCGGCCAAAATTCATGGTGGAATCCAATTATCCTCGTCGCCACTGTTGTATCTCTGATACACTTAAGATGTGTGCATCACCTGAGATTTAAGGGAGTGTCCTTTCTACTTGGCTGCTGGTAGTGAAGTGGCTTGGAAGTTCAAAGCAGTGACATTCTTCCTATAGCGGTAATGGTTTGCTATTCAGGTATCCATCTATTGTCCTATTGTCACTGGCTGGTATGTATATTACATTGGCATGTATGTTACATTGACATGTGTAATACATTGGTATGCATTGTATGCAACTTTCTGGGTGATGATCACGTGGTTAAAACTGATTACTAATCTAAGCTGGGAATCCGTGATATTTAGGTGTGAACAATGAGTTATTCTTGGGTGTCTTGATGGTTTCACAGTTACCATTTAAGTTCCGTGGTGATAGCCCCGTCACTGTTGGCATATTTCTATTTTCACCAGTTAATAACTGACTGTTGGCATATTTTCATTGCACCAGTTGATAACTGGTCTGTGTGCATATTTCCAGTTGCACAAGTTGATGACTGACTGTTGGCATATTTCAGAGAGGGGCGGTAGTGGGCAAGCGAATCACTTAAAGAGCGCGCAAAGAGTGCTCATTAGGGGGTGTTGGTGATAGGCCTCCCGCGCGAAGCGCGGAAGCTTTGACGTTTCATTAACTTATGAGAAAAAGCAGACGATTCGGAGTATTTTTCTCGACTCTTAATCCTTATCTAAATTCAGTTCTCCCCCTCTCGTGCGAAGCGCGGAAGCTTTGACGTTTCCTTAAATCATTAGAGAAAGCTGACAATTCGTTTTACTGTTTTCGACTCTTAGTAAGCCCTATTTGACGTTTCTTTAAATTGGAATCGTTGTACCGTTTTCGACTCTTATTAAGCCCTATTAAGCCCTATTTATCTGAATTCAGTTTCCCACTTTAGCGCGAATCGCGG